GGGTACAGAAAGCATAAAAAGGAAAAGCAAAAATCATCAGGCATCATTCCCCCCCTTTTTAGAGACTAACAAGACTTCACCTTGTCTAGTCTCTACACTACATTAACTACAACTACAACTATCAGAGACACTTTTTTTACTCAGGCCTAGTCTGGTAACCATGAAAAATACAGTCAAATTTTAAGGTGGTAAATTTTGGAAACTAATTCAGGTAGAATTTGAGTCTCTTTTCAATTTTCATACTAATCAATGGCCAGTTACTACTCCTATCTGGAGGAGATAATTGGGTACAGATCCAGCAATTGCTCCTGTCAAGAGCTCTGGATATATTTTGGACGATCGCAATGCAATTAATGGGCCGAATCCTGAATCATGGTTACTAGTTGGGCAGACAACAGACATGTGAAAAATAGTTTAAACCACATCAGCTTGATTTGTATCAGTCTCTGGTTCTTCGATGGTTTCTTGACTCTGGAGTAGTGAGTCTATGGTCTTTTCTCAGCAACCTTGACCGCAGTGAGGGTGGGCAGCAAAGCTTGGAACAGTCCTTTCTGCTCAGCTTGCAAGAGGTTGCTGTCCTACTACTTGATGCAGATCCTGTCTCYAGGCTGGAATGGATGAGCAGCCGTGTCTAGTCCTATGGGCTTGGACAACACGGCGAATCTCTGGAGCTTCTGCAAATGGGAACTTAAAACCATTAAGCATTTCTGCAAATCAGTACGAGTTTTCCCCGGGATATGTGGAACCTGGTATGGTTTGCGATATGAGATTTCATAGGGACTTACATTGTCCCTCTGCCTTGGTTGTATGTGAGCTCTCAGCAAGGCTATAGGCAAGGCCTGAACCCAAGTCATTGAGGTTTTTTGGCAGATCTTACTGATCTGGGTTTTGAGGGTTCCATTCATACACTCGTCAACTTTGCCACTTGCTTGGGGCCTGTATGGAATAATCAGGTCCCAAGTAAGTCCCAGAATCTTGTCAACTTCTCCAACCACGGTTGCAGTGAAATGTGGTCTTCTATCTGATGACATTTCTAGAGGAACCTTAGACCTTGGAATTATGTGGTTGAGCAAAGCTTTTGCTACCTCTTTTGCTGTGTTGGTACAACAGGGGTAAGCCTCAGGCTATCTACTGAAGGTGTCAACCAGTACTAGCACATATTTGTATCCCTCCTTGTGAGGCATTTCAGCAGAACCTATTTGCCAGTAGTGTCTCGGGAGATCTCCTGTCTTTGTCACTCCTAACACAACTCTCTTGCTYGTGTCAGGATTGTTTCTACAACAGGTCTCACACTTGCTTGTTATAGATTGTACAATATCAGTCATCCCTCTCCTAACTACTATCTTCTTCAGATGTTTTAAAAGATTTTCTGTTCCCCAGTGGGTACCCTCATGCTCCCTCTGGGCTATTTCTTGAAGAAGCGGAGGTTGGAGTACAACCTGTCCTGTTGGGGTAACAGCTCACTCACCTTCCTTGATTTTAGCTTGAAGGGCCTTAATCAATTTTTGATCCTCCTGATCGTATTTTGGAGTAAACCCTGTCAAATCTACCTCCTTCTGTGGTACTACTGCAAGTTTGTCTTTTCTTTTACCCCTTTCTGTTGCTTTACCGAAAAGGTAATTTCCTAATTCAGGGGTTGTTTTTTCTTTTTGATGACTTCTGCAGTGCATGACAGTTACTTCTGTAGTCTTCTGGATACTCTGCAGGAGTGGAAGGATCTGTTCTGCATGCTTATTTTCATTACTTTGAACAGTCAGCAGGCCACGTTCTTTTTAAATAGCTCCGTGGGCATGAACAGTGCGAAGCACATCAGTCCATATGTCCACCTTCTTTTCTTCATTCAGTTCTAGAGCTCTCGTCAGTGCAATCAGTTCAGCTTTCTGTGATGACACATCTGAAATCAAGGCTTTTGCCTCAATTACCTTATCCATGGTGGTTACTGTGTAGCTTGTCATCCTCTTGCCATTCTTCGTGAAACTGCTTCTATCAGGAAATAGTTCCCGGTCTCGATTCTCCAGAGGCACGTCCTTCAGGTCTGGTCTGCTGGAATAGGTCTTTTCTATTGTCTGCAAACAGTCATTCTCAGGCATGTTATCAAATAATGTGGGTGACAGAAACATTGCTGGGTTCATGACAGATGTTGTTTTCAGGGTAACATCATCCTGTTCYAACAACACAGATTGGTAGTTAAGCATTCTGCTTGGGGATAGTCCCCCCTTTTGCTCCAGCATGGACACTACTGCGTGGGGTACATACACGACAATGTGCTGACCAAGGGTGAATTTACGTGTTTCCGGTATCAGGATGACAGTTGCTGCCACAGCCCTCAAACACCCAGGCCACTCTTGGCTAACATTGTCCAGCTGTTTTGAAAAATAGGCCACAGCTCTTTGCTGGTCTTCAAGGTGCTGTGCCAGTACCTCTAGAGCAACACTGAGTCGCTTATATGGAAAAAGTTCAAAAGGCTTATTTAAGTCTGACAGCCTCAGCTGCTCCAGCTGTTTAGGTGCAGCCTTTTTATTCTCTGTGGACAATAAGATGGTTCTCTTTTCTGCTGCTTTAAGGGTCCTAGACAGAGGTTTTACTAGTAGTCTTTTCTAGTTCTCTAGTTCTTTTGCCAGCTGGCTTTCAGATTTCTAAGTGAGCTGTATTTTTTTCTCTGTCTCAGTATCTCTCCTCTCAAAAGCAAAGAGCTTTTGCTTAATTTTGTGCACAGGGGTAGGGGTATAGGAAAAGACAAATTTCGGACCCAAAACAGTAAACCACTCGAGTTCACTGGTCAGTGTAATCATGGGTATCGAACTTTGGTCACAGCAGTGAGAGCCCTGAACTACTAGATTACTAGGGAATGTAATCTGACCTTGTCTCTCCTGTTCAGAGGAGTTTTCTGTATTGGGCTCGTCAGACTTGCTTTTAACTGCGATTGTTTCTCCCTTTGTTTTGACACTGATCGTTCGCTCTTCCCCGCTCCCGTGCTCCGAGGGACCGGGAGCGGCAACAGGACCTGTCCTCGCTCCGGCCCCGCTCTCGCCCCCAGGGCTGTCTGGTGATGGTGGACCCGGACCCGTTCCGGCCCCACTCCTGTCCCCAGGGCTGTCAGGCAGTGATGGACCCGGCCCCTCTCCAGCCCCACTCCTGCCCCCAGGGCTGTTGGGGGGCGGTGGGCAGTCATCCCCCCTTCCCAGCTCCGGAGGGACTGGGGGAAGGGGCGGCAGCGGCAGGGGAGGGGGTGCCGCACCTCCCCCCTTCTCCACCGGCACGGGCAGCACCGGCGGCGGAGGAGGGGGTGATCTTCCCCCCTGCTCTCTTCTCCTTAGTGAAACCATCTCCACCCAGCCTTTCTGCGGCTGATTGTAGGTTTGTTCTCTGTTTAAAAGTATTGCAAACAACTCTGCATATCTCAGCTCTTCATACCTGCCTTGGACTCTGAGTTCTACTAATAAATCAGTAATCAACTCATTATTCAGACT